TTTAAAAATTTTATTGGACTTTCCAGTTCATCAGAACTGACGTTGTTCTGGGAGGACATAATTATCTCTTTTACTGGAAGGGAATAGGCAAATTGCCACAAAGCGAAGCTGCGACTCTTAAACAAAAGTTTAACTGTACAACACCTCTTGAAATGTGGGCAAGATTTCCTTAAAGCGCTCAGAAAAGTGTGTTAATGTTTTAAACTAACTTCTCAATGCCTAGAGACATTCTGCTGCAGCTACCATTAAGAGAAAAATAAATAGACCAAATTGGTTATTATGAATAATATATTTCTGAGAGTTTGTCTTTATTACAAGGTAGTTTTTCAAAAGCATGAGTTTGTCTTACCCTGTAGTTCTTCCTTTTATGTCTCCAGGTCTCTGCCCTGTGGGGCAGACCAAAGCAGTGATATTTCCCCATATTTTCCAGATCCCAGATCAGTGGAATTTCAAGAGGAAAGTCATCTGCCTTAAAAGGCTTCAGAACATATGCAGATCTCAAGAATCCAAATTATACCTTATAAATTATATTAATTGCAGTACAGATTGGTTCAGTCTAGGACAGTTAAGTTTAACCTAAACTTTGCAACACATGAGACAACAAGGACTTTACATACAGTGAACTGTCACTGACAAGCCTCTCTCAAAAGTAACAGCAGAAGTCCAGAGCAGAGGAGTCCTATGAACACACTTGACATCCTTGCTGGACATCCACATTTTCTTTGTAGAATTTGCACCTGTGTTAGTGATAATGCCAGGAGAGAACTCTGGAGCCTGCATTCAAAGGCTCCCTTCTCAAGTCATTAGAAACCCTGCATATACTCTTCTTTGCCACCTTCCTAACTTCATCTGCTCTGTGCTGCAGCTTGGGTCCCAGTGAATGCCTGGCTGAGAGGGCTGGCGCCACGTACGTGTTGTCTTCCGTTTGTGCGAGTTCAGTGTTCATCAGTAAGCAGCAGAATCTAGATTATTCTTCATTAAGCTGCCAGAGAAACAGTGCTAGTGTTCCTGAAGCTCAGAAAACTGGCTTTGAAGCATTGCAACATACTCTAAGGACTTTTTATTGGAACTGTATATTTAATGGAAAATATGCTTTAGAAATGAGTGCAGAAAATGGAGTGCAATGAATCTATTTTAAGTCTAAGTAAGGAAAAAGACCATATGGATAGGAAGAGGTATTGAGCATAGTCTTAAAAACAACAAAAAAAACCCAACAAACAAACAAAAATCATGCATGTCTGTTGAGCTGAAGAAATTTCAAATGAAAAGTCCTCTTCTGCTCCCGTTATACTAACAGAATGGAAGATGGAATGATTCCAATTATGAAAATGTTTTCTCTAAGTCATCTCTTGATCTAATACACGTGTAAGACATCTAAGCCTAGACATGAATAACTAGGCTTAATGTTATTCACCTTACACAGAAGGAGAGGAGGGAATCAGTTCTTGCAATGCAGGAACTGGTGGATACATTGTGGGTAAAAAAGCAGAAGGTTTTCTTGAGACCTCAAGAGGCTCTTGGATAGTACAAATAAAGCACTCTTGATTGCTGTGACTTTTCAGGTGTCTGCCCCAAGCCTAGCTCTAGCCCTGAACCACTTGTGAATGGGAGTGGGCTGAGGAGCAACTGGCACTGTAGTGGGACTGGGAGTGGTGCTTCCAAAGTGTTGGGATGCTTTAGGAAATTAAGAATAATTTTAAACTCTAGGGAGGAGGAGTGTAGGATTTATACCTCCCCTGCTAATACCTGTTAATGGAATTAAAGATTCAATGATGCAGTAAGGTTCAGTAGCAGAGTGTGACGGTTTTCAGTGCCCTGCCTGTCCGTAAAAAAGCTCCAGGCCACGCTTTCATTTGTACCATTTTGGAAGTGGAAGGAAACCTTTAAGGGGGGGGGATATGGTCCATAAGGAATATTCTGTCATCGGGGCTTCCTGCAGTGATAAAAGTCTGTTAGGGAGTATCTGCATTGCAGCAGCCATTTTCAGTCAGGATGATGAACCTTGCCTGGTACTAGCAGCAGATCCCATGTTACCATCACACCATTTTTTTTAATGTCTGTCATCTTTGATCCTGCCAAATGATTTGTGGAGGTTTTAGACAAAATGGATGTAATAATGAACAAGGTCCAGATTCTACCATCCAGGCTCATTAAATTGCCCATTTGAGAGTTGTCCTAGTGAAGTTAGTGAGACCACGCCTGGAGTAAAGCACAAATTATCACTAAATAGGGGTTTAATAGTAATTATTTACATGTACAAATAAAACAGAATTCTGCATTTTTAGGCAAAGTGTAGTTAGATGGTTAACTAGGCAATGTGGAGTCTGTGTGACATGACTATTTCTGGTTTTGTTTTTAACAGTATGTCACAATACTTGAGAGATTTTGGTTTTCATTGCTTTGTGAAGAATAATTTGCAAATACTGTGATGGAGAATGCTCTCACACAAGCCCAAAGGATGTGATTCTACCATACAATGAGTCATATAAACTTACTTGTTCGAAGGCTATGAAATAACTTGCTAAATGACCATAAAATTTAGTTTTTTCTCTGTCTCTGTTTTGGGTTGTTTTTTTATTTTTATTTTTTTTTTTTTTGTATTAAACCCTTGCTTCCAAGCACCTCTGTAAATTGTTGATTGACTATTTTTCTGCCGTGTTGAAATTATTTGGATTTTCTCTGCATATGCTGGGATGATACCAGCATCACTTGCAGTAAAATATTCATGCAAAATGAGCACTAAAGAAAAATTGCATAGAAAAGTCAGTTGATATTACCAGTCAGTTGATATACCAGTCTTGACTACATGGGAGGAAGCACACTTATGTCACTAAATTTAATGTAACTTATGAAATTTTCTTTTAGAACTCAATTCCTCTTTTGTGTGAAAACAAATCAGTTTGGCCTATTTGACATTTAAGGTAGCTTTGAAATGTGGGGCTTAAATAATCACTTTTTTTTATATTGACCACAATGATTTTTATCAAGCTTTTGGGAAGCTGAAATTTGAGAAGGGCAAACCTCCCATGAAAAGCAAACACCCTGATGCATATGTATACGTACTTTTTTTTTCCATTGGATTTTGAGTATGGGAAAAGTGGACTCTTGGTGTGCCTTTATGTTGCTGTTTTCTATCTTTTCTTATTTTTATGTGCCAGGTCAGTATCCCATCTTTGTGTGGGTCCATTCAGCTTGTTTTGGTCTTGAACAGAAAAGCAAATCTTGGAAAATGAGTGTAACACGTGCATGCTAACAGCTGTTATTCACCTTATGCCACATTTATATCTCTTATTTTTCTCACCTTAATTGGTAATAAGTGATTCATATTTAACACAGTAAAGGCATTGAACTGGTGAGTGGAAAACATTAAAAAAGCTGCTGTCTCCCTGTGGAATGCAGAGTCCTAGAAGGCTTGGCCACCATCATCGGGTTTCCTTTCTTGTCCCAAGCAAGCCCTTTTCCAATAGGAACAGGCGGTTCTTTACAGTCCCATTATCTTGATAATGTAACGCTAACAATAACACTGAGACACTGGAGGAATTTAGGGAGCTTCAGTGTAGAAAAAAATGTTACCAACTGGGGAAAAAAAATCTCCACTTAAGCTGGGAAAATGGATTCGCACAAGACAATCAGAGAAGGACAAGTAGACCTGGAGTCTGTGGTCAGCATGATTGACTCTGCCTCAGGAGCTTCAATCCGTGGGAGATTTTCTGACCTTATTTGTGGCAGAACAGTTTGCAATGAAATGGTTTAGAGAATGTCCTCCTTACCACAATGGGTCTGTTTGTATAAGGATTTTGTGTGTTGTCAGTACCCAGCTTGCTTTTAGCATCACATTACAGCTGGCTTCTCAAGCAGTCTGGACTTACTGTGGGTTTGAGTAAACAAGAAGTTTTGTAATACTCCTTATTTTTGCATTAACTATGCCATTAATGGTTGTAAAAATTGATAGTTCTGGTCAGACACCGGGTGGCAGTACTGCAAACCATGGTAGATGTTTTAGCCTATAAACTAAGGAGCATCTCAGAAACCACCCAGAGTGCGTGCCAGCAGAGGTTACCACTTTTACATCCTTGGGATTACATCCTGGCCCATATCCATACCATCATATTCTCCCTTCAGTTGCAGTACAGTGTTCCTATTAAGCTAGAGTGATGAGGGCAAAATAAATGGTGGTACAGGGCTGTTTCTTTGCCGGTATGCAGCAACATTACAGAAGTAAGGCCCATCTTTTGGGCACTTAACTGGATATATACGGTTTTTACCATGGCTGAAATCAAATTTACAGCTTTTGGGTTGTTACCAAATTACTAGGAAATAACTAGGAATTAGTAATGATTCTTTATATTACCTGAGGTCTTAAAAGTATCCTAAGACAGTTTTACTTGAAGAATCATGGGGCCAATAGAGAAAAACACTTGTAGATATTTTCATATCACAAGCAGATTTGAAAATTATATTCAACATATTTGCTATTGAATATATTTCACTATTAGAAAATATTTCCATAATGGAGCTGTACTTTAAAATTGCGAAAAGTTTCTTTGTTCCTTGGAATAGCTTTTGTGTGGCCAAAATGCCAGTCATAGTTCTGGTATCTGCCAGTATCACACAGTGCAGTTACTGAGTTCTCCACGTATACTGATGGATGGAAGAACCACACCAAACCTGTGATATTTTGAGCTCGGTATCAAGCTCTGTTCATCAGACATGCCAGAACCTGAAGTATACACCTAATTCCCATAAGATCTCTCCTTTTATAGCACTGGGCTCTGATAAACTTGGCTGTGGATGTGAAAGAGCAGCAGTAGAGAGGTAAGGTTTAGATTTTCAAGATCATAACTAGACTGATTGCATTTTATAGAATGAAAAGCAGCCCGGAGTTCTGCCTTTACACAGCATAGTACTTCTAGCAGTCTTGAAGGTTAATTGTCATTTGGGCTTGCTGAAGCTTAATTGACTTTTCTTCTCACAGATATCCACATTTCTAGAAAGCAGAAATGACCATGACTGCCAACAAGAATGCCAGTGTCAACAGCAGAGCTGGAGGGAGTAAAGTGCCTCAGGACACTCTGGATAGGTAAGTGGTGAACTGCAGGCTTTATAGATTCTGAGAAAGGTTTGTCTGTGTTCGGAATAAAATCTCTGTTCAAAGGTAAGCGACCTCTATTCTGACACAGAGAGCGCTTTGCTGGACTGAGAGAAGATTTTGGTAGGGATTGGAGGAACCGAGGTATGAAAAAAGGTCTGCTTCTGGCATATTTCTGTCAAGCTATTGCTGCTCGCTGGCTGGTTATGATGAAAGTGATTGCAAGGAAGGACCTGTATGGAAGGCACCGTGTAGGCCTCAAGAGGTTTGAACTAAATTTCTTGGCCACGTGACTGCATGTCAACTTTTCTCCGTTGCCAATCTCGTTTGTATTTTGTATTGATTTCTGTCACATTTTCTTTGCTGTATCTGCCTTGACAGACGGTGGGCAGAGACTGCCTCCTGTTGCAGGTCAGACAGCGAGTGTGAAAGGGCTGAATGTAAAGTACAGGGCTCATCTCTGTTATCTTGCTTATTTTCCTCCTTTATGTAGCATTAAGTCATTTACAGAGTAAGTAGATCAACTTAATCGTTCACAGCTAGGGAAAAACTGTAGCCAAGGACACCTTAAGTCCCCAAGCCTGGCAATCCTAAGGGAATCAGTCTATTTAGACTAGACCAGAAAACAAAGTGCACTTGCAAATTTGTGCATGTTTACTTGTGGCTAAGAAACACTATCCTAATAAAGTTCCAGTCCATTAGAAGGCTGTGATGTGACTGCCTGCAGTGATGCAGATGCCTGTAAATAACAGATGCCTTTCACTCATGAATTAGTACAATGAAATGGCAAGAAGGGTAGAGTCAGTTATTGCTCCCTTGTCCTTCATTTTACAGTGATCAAAGGCAGTGTTTTGAGGACAAGAAGTTTTTTTTGGTCAACTCTGCTTTGGAATATTGCGTTGGTATGCAAGTAAACAACTCACCTGCAGCCAACAAGTTCATATATCTGTGTCAGAAGGAGTTTTGATCTCAGCCACAGCCTTTACAAAATAATGCTGACTGACTCAGCCTGTGGCCTTCACACAGGACAAGCCCACCAGCTTCTCTCATTCTGGGACTGACAGTTGCAAAACCCTCACTTAAATCTGCAGTCCCACTAGGGCAGCCTCGATATGCTTTGACTGGGAAAGTTTAGACAACCATCAGATTAAGGAACCTTTATGAATTAATTGTTTGAACACAGGAGCAAAGCTCTAGACTTTGGATGTCATCTTAGTCAGGTGAGCAGAAATCCATGCAAACTGTGCAAGGTCTGTCTTCAAATGCATGAACTGTCTGTTGACATGTCTCTGTCCTTGCTGTAGCATTTTATCTAGCTTTCCAGGGGATTCTTACATGGATATATTGTCCTATTCTGTTTTGAGGGGCTGTTCTACACCACGTTGCACAATAACATGCCAACGTCTTCATTTTTCTTGTATTTTGGCTCAAAACAAGACTTTAACCCCATTACAAACAGCATAGAGTAGGAACGTGCAAATAGCTTGCACTGACCTTATAGAGCCTCTGTACTGCAGTAATACCTTTATGCTAGGTATTGGACATAGAAACAAGGAAGATGCTCTTTGCCTTACAAAGTTCAACATGTAACTCTGTAAGGCATTAAGTAGGCTGCAGTAAAATGGGTCTGTGCCCAGAAATGAATGTTGTAGAGCAAAAAAGCAGTGGAGGTCCTATTTATTTGTTGGACACTTCGGGATAGGAGTGTGGGTTGTACCAATGTCAATGAAATGCTCTGATCGCTTTGGCCAGGCCAGGCAGCATCTGTTTTAGCCATACCTGACTAGAGGGTACCACACCTGATAAACTGTACCAGGGTTACTCCTAGCTGACAGCAGTGCAGTATGTACATAGGAGGATTATATTGGGAGAACTTTGCTGTTTCAAATACATTAGTAAAGACTGTGACTCAGGTGAGTAAATCACAGAATTACAGTTTTATTTTATCCACTTGAAAATGAAATGTCAGAGGCAGGAAGTCCCTGCATTGGCGGCTGTCAGGTAGAATAGCTGGCATAGATGGAGAAGTTCAGACAGAGAAATTGAGAAGAGTTGGCTTTGATCCTAGCAGGGAGCTGTAGGACAACTTGAAAGTGATGTTGAATACTGGCTTTTTTTGGCATACCTGCCATTGTATTCTGAACTTTTCCAACCACAAACAATGGAAAAGGGAAAATATAAACTAAATTCTAATATTTTCAGGATGGAAGCAATGGAAGAGATTTTTTTTTTTTAACGGTTTATTTATTTTCTGTTTTTATTTAAAGGAAAACCTCTTTTTAATGACACATCTCTGTTTTGCATTTAAACACTCTGGCTTTGTTCTCAGTTTTGGTTGTCTTTCCATATTTCATGCACATATGGCTGCCTCTGCATTGCCTTCTGTATCTAATAACTTATATCTCTCTTTCAGCTCTCTGCCACGCCTTCCCACTTATCTACACATATTATTGAACTGCAGTAATTCCAGGCAGTTTTCCTGAGTTGGATGAAATGGCCTCATCCTGATTGCCAAGGGATAGGTTGGCCTACAAAGTAGCGGTGAATTAATAATCAAGAGCCTTAGGTAGAACCCTGACCCTGGCTCTGGTAGTGACCGCCTTTGTGGCATTGTCACGCCCTTCCCATGTCTAAATCTTTCATTAGGTTGATTTGCCTTTCTTCCTCCTGGTGCTGTGCTCCTTTCACTTTTTAAATAGTGCGGTTGACTAAAAATATAGATAACCAGCATCCATTCTAGTGTCTTTTATTAGGCATATTATGCTGTGTTAAAGCTCAGCAGAAATGGGCTCGATATCCTTGTACACTTCCCAGTTTGTTAGTTTGTGCATTTGGTATGTCTTAGTACGAAACAGTAAAAACATAAAATAAAGAGGGGGGGAGGGTGACTAGAGGAATTTCTAGATAGATATTCATATGTGGATATTAAAACCAGATCCCTAATGATATCTGGAATTCTTAAGTTGTTTATTATCCTTCCATCAGTGCAGACAGATTGGTGCTGGGAACTTGGGTCCAGACTTTAGTAAACTTTGGACCTATTCTTTTGTTTTAAAATCTTGTCCGTTCTGAATAGCTTAGAAAGTACTGTGGGATACTAAGTTATTGGATAATAACTGTCAAATAAACTGTCTTTCCTTATCATCACCATCTGTTTTGATTAGAATTTGTCAGGAAAAGATTTTGTAAGTACAAGTATGGACCTGAAGCTAAGAAAAATCTTTGAGTCGCACTTGCGTGACAAGTGAGGAGATGAATAGGTTGTCATGCACCAGTTCTCCATCCATTATTTTGCTTTATGTAATCTTCTTCACCTGTCTTTGTGAAACCCTGTAAGAGGATGTTATTTGAGTCAACCATGAGGATTCTTCATTTTAGTCAGACTGTAAATCATCAGAGTAAGTGCTGGCATAATAAAAGTTTAAGGCTTGCGGGATTTATTGCAAACATGTTCAAAGATCCATTTAAACTGAACAGTCATTGTCTTTGGTTAGTATGGGATTTGACTGGAGATTTGGAAATCTGCAAATGTGCTTTCTCTAGAATTTGTGGGGGTAGAGTTTCAGTAAGTGCTGATACTGGCATAACGCAGGTATATTAGTCTCCTGGTGACTAAGACATCTTTTTGGTGTTATTTTCTTGTCAGTCCTAGTTTTGGTGTGGTTTATTGTTGCAAGATGCAAGGTGTGTTTCAGTGATATAGTGTCACTGTCTGGTTCAGCCTTTTGTGATTCCTTATGAGTCAGAAGCAAAGGTCAGTAAAGCCTATAGAAGTGTTTCTGATTGCTTTGGCTGTGAATCAGATGCCCATAAATATAAATTTTAAGCATAAAAATCTTCAGTGGGAAGGAGGTGCCTACAAGTAAACGTCTATACAACTGCATGCTTTGCAAGTGTCAAGATTCTTGCAGTAACTAAGATTCCCTTGGTCTTTGCTGGAGTGTGGATCCACTGGCATGAGGCACCACAGCCATTTTTCCATCAGAGCTGTGCTAATGGCAGTTTAGGAAATGAGGGAAAGACAGAGAGCAGAGCGAGGACATTATTTGGGAGGATAGCCGTGAGTCTCACCTGAGAAACGGGTTGTGGGATTCACAGGTTTCTGCTGTGAAAACAGGAGGGGGAAACCTTTGGATCTGAAGAAAGTTAGGTGATTTAAATAAACATCCACACAAATTCATTCTTTCTGAAGTTCATTCACCACTTGTAACAAGTGGACAATTTTGTGTGTCTTAGGTGAGACAAGCTCGACTGTGCTCTGAATAGGAAAATATTGTAGAAGGGTGACAACAGTGGTCGAAGGTATGGAACATTTTCACTACAAAGCAAGAATAGATTGACTGGGACTCTTCATCCTGGAAAGGAAAGGAGTGGAGGGGAAAAAGGGGTAATAGAAGTCTCTGAAATGATACATAGAACAGAGATGGTAAATAGGGAAAAAAATCTCTTTCCATTTAAGAACTGATATGAATCAAATGAAACTAGAAGACGACAGGTTGAAAATAAATTCAAAAGAAGGTACTTCTCTGCAGCACATCTTTAAACTATGGAACTTACTGCTACAGGATGTTGCAATCAGAAAAATTCATGGACAAAAAATCTACCAAAGGCTTTTACCCACTGAAGCAAAATCTGTGAGTCAACAAGCCTTTAGGCCTTTGACTGTTAAGCTGGTTAAGTAGCACTGCATGTTCACCTTGCTCTTACTCTCTTCTCTAGGCACCTGCTAACCATCACATGCAATGACAGAGCCTGGACTGGGAGTGCTCTTTGGTCCAAGACAGTTGGGACATTCTGATGTTGTCTGGAACAAGAGTCAATTATAGGAAGCTAATATTAGAGTTTGCAAAAGGATTGTTATACTTACGAAATGAGACTTTCTGACTTTCGGTGAACTTCAAGGACACAACTTTAATCCTTCCTTGTGAGTCACCAATGTGAACACCAAGGAACAGGTTAGGAAAGCACCTTATGTGTAGCTGAAAGCGACT